AGGAGGGGGAGAGAGAGACAGAAACATCAATGATGAGAGTCATTGATTGGCTGCCTCCTGCACGCCCCCTACTGGGGGATGGAGCCTGCAACCCTGTCATATGCCCTGACTGGGAATCAAACCGTGATCTCCTGGATCATGGGTCAATGCTCAACCACTAAGCCACGCCAGCTGGGCCTCAACTAACATTTCTTATGCTCCTACTATGTTCAAGACATTGTGGAAAAATGATATAATTGTTCCTCTGAAGAGCACTGTCTCTAGTAGAGGTAGACACACATGAAAACAACTTAAATTCCATCATAATTAGGGAGTGTCTCAGAATAAACACAGAGCATAGACTATACACTCAGACAGAACTAGGTTTAAAATCCCAGGTCTAATTTGAGTTGCTGTGTGATTGTATCCTGAACATGTCTTATTTCTTATTTATAAGTTGTGGATGATAAAAACAAACAAACAAAAAAAACCCACACATTTCGAGGGGACATTGTAAGGATTAAGTGAGAAAATGCATAGTGCCTGTCATATAATGGGTACATGATAGGGGAGATGAGAATAGCAACGTCTTCCTACAGCAGGGCTTCTTAAACTTCAATGTGCATCAGGTTGCCTAAGAATCTTAAGAAGGCAGCTTCTGGTTCAGTGAGCCTAGGTGTGGCCAGAGATCCTACATTTCTAACAAGTCCCCAAGTGATATACACACTGTTTCTCAGAAAACTGCCATTTCTGTAACAAGGAGTTAGAAACTTTTTTGGTTTTGGTTTTATTTATAAGGAGCTGATGCTGGAGGTGAATCTTAAAAAATGATTAGGTGCCATCAGGGAAGACAACAGGCAGTGGAAAGAAGGGCATTCTGAGAAGAGAATGGAAATATGGGTCTTGCCAGTAATATAAGAAGTATGGGAATGTGAGGGGCCTGAAAGGTGACTTGAAGAGAGAAGTTTGGAATGAGAAAGAGTATCAAGACATAGGGTTTTCCATGCCTTGCCAAGGAGTTATTTATCCTGTAGGTAATGAGGGACTCATAGGAGAATTTAAGAAGCTGTGAGTGATTTGATCGACTACAAGATTCAGAAAGATTATCCTGCAAACAGTTAGAGGATGGGTTGGATGGGAGGATGATTGGAGTCAGAAGGGTATTGTGGTATACTTGGGGAGATATGAGCCAATGCAGCAGAGGCAGTATAAACTGAGAAGAAGTGGTGACTATGGAAGACATCAGGATATGGAATTGACAAATCTTGGGCATTTATTAGATATAGAGAAAGGAAATTAAGTTTAAGGTTTCTGCCAGGTTTCTGATTTAGATGAATCACTTTCTAGTTAATTAGGGAGACAGAGAAGTTTATGGAAAAGAAAAGGAGCTGAGCTTGGTAATATGTTGAATTTGTGCGACATCCAAATGAAAGTATCTATTAACAAAGTTGGAGTTACAAGAGAGTGTTTGGAACTGTCAATGTATATTATAGTAGATGAAGTTATGGAGATAGGTTCTGTCAATGAAGGAATATAGCAGAGAGAAGCAAGAAAAAACAAGGAAGGAATTCTCATGCAAATCTCATGAAGGGTCAGAAGGAGAAAAACCCACAGAGAGACAGAAGAAATGATTACATACAGAGAAGCATATCAGAAGACTACTGTTAGAAGTGCCTACGGATATGAGAGTTTCTAGAAGAAATTGATCAGTTGTGTCAAGTGCAATTAGAAGTTAAGTAAATAAGGACTGAAAATTAGAAGTTGGTGATATTTGCCAGAGTAGTTTCAGTGAGATAATGTGGAGGAAATTGAGATTGTAGTAGGTTAAAAATAAATGGAAGATAAGGGAGCAGAGATTGTAATGTAGAATATTCTTTCTAGCAGCTTGGTTCTTGGTTCTAATGGGAAAATTTTAATAAATAGTAGCCAGAAATAGCCCCAATATTGAATGTTTTGATTGATTGATTGATTGATTGACTGACTGATTCATTCATTCATCATCTTGAGCATACTTATGGTGGCCGAGAAGGAGTGCATAAAGACAAAACATCTAAAAAATAGGTCAAGAGAATGACTACTATAACAATGCCCAGGAGAAGCAACACAAATTCATGTGAGACTGGAGGAATTAAGGTGGAACTGGGTACTTGTGCAGATGAGTCACTGCACGTGTAGGGCTGCATATCGCATGCTTGGTAGCCAAGTTTGTTCTGGAACATGAGGCAGGATTGTTGCTGAGCATCGAAGTTGCAACTGCAGCTAGACATTACACTGTGTGGGGAGGCCTCTCCTCAAACTTGGGTGGTTTTCTTTAACAGTACTTGACCCTCTGCTCACATTTTCTTTGATATTGTCCATGAGCCTTGTTGTTGCTACTTCAAAAAAATAGAGGAGCATGTTTTTCATAAATAGATTATAGTATCCTCTGATATACTGATCTTTGGAATTCCAAATAGCAAGCTGGACTTCTTCCTTCTGCACTCCATTCATCTGGTTTTGCAGTCATCCAGAGGAGATAGAAATAGAAAGATGGATTGTGTGTGTGCATGGACATATGTTGCACTCTTTAGAGGTGATGACATACATAGGACCATCAAAGAAATCTTCCAAGGTTGCAGAATGAAAAATACGAAATCTACTACTTTTATTCATGCAGAAATTTTACTGAGTACATACCTTCAAACTCTTTAATCCACATAGCTTTACGTGCCAAAATTCTTGTGTTCATTTCACCTAAATAATCACGAGTCTTCAACTTCTTATTCTAGTTCTCAGCTGAACATCATTCAATAATGAACCTACTTAAAATAGTGGCTAATATGCTTTGTTGACTATCAGGGCAAAAGGCCACTCACTGCCTTTGGTTTTAGACTTCAATCTTCAAGACATCTCCACTGAATTCTCGAGGTCAAATGCAAGTAGAAACACAAATCAACCAGCTCAAAAGTCTTGTTTTCTTCGAGATAGGAGGGAAGGGAGAGTGAGGAACAGAAATACAGTTTAGAAAATAAAAGTTCTAATTCTATTTTGAGTTACATTAACTGGTAGGAAATATTATTTCAAATATTTTTAAATGAATGAAAAAGCTCTGTAATGACCAATTTCACTTTGATCACTTCAATATGTATTTTATTGGTTAATTCAGTTATACCTTCTGATAGTCTTACATTTTTCCAGTTTCTTTACAAACCACTTCTGTAAAGCTAAACACCACATTATAGCTCAATAAAGCTGGAAAGAAAAAAGGCAAGGAAAAAAACTAAACACTGCCTTTTTTAAATATACACAAGATTTCAGTTCCTTAAGAGTCTTGAAAATTTGTCTAAACTACACACTGTGAAGCTGATCGGTGACCTAGGGATGAGGTAAAGGAGCCATGTGCTCTAGTAAACACTTAAAAAGGGGGTTGTGCAATGTTTTTGCCTCCAAGTCAAAACATTTTTCTGTGCCTCGCCTGACTCCCTGAAAAATATCAACACCCAGCATTTTGAAGCACATTCAGGAAATTCCAGAGGATGTCAAAGCCATAGACACTATGTGACCCAAAGAATACTTGAAAGAACAAAAATTATCTAATCTAGAACTTGAGGAAATCTGAAAGTTGTTTGTATTAGTATATTTTCATACGTAAGTGCGAGGCACCAGTTCAAAATGGTTTGAGGAAAAAGCGGATGTGTTGATACAGGAGGAGCTCAATCTCTGCCTTCAGAACTTAGTCTTTCTTTCTCCATCTCTTGGTTCTACCCTTCCCTGTGTTGGCTTTCTTGTCAACATGTTTCCCCTTTGCTTGGGCAGCACCACACTTAGCTCCTATCTGCCCAGCAACCCTGTTGAAAAAAGGAGAATCTAGTCTTCAACATTTCCGACAAAATTCCTGGACTTATTGGCTCTAGATGACTTGACTTTGGTCAGATTCCCACCTCAGCCCTGAAGAAGATGTGGTAGAAGGAAAGGTAGTTCTTTAAGGAAAATCTTTGTGCTATTTCCACAAAAAGGAGAAGGAATCAAATGGCTGGCAGGTAAAAACAACAGATGCCCTGCACTGCCTTCAAGTGATATGGTAGGCTCTCTGGCGCATACGGGGATAAGCTTCTACGAGGCCCCAGAAATGAGTGAACCTTACAGGAAAGCAGACTTCAGCTCACTCCCAAAAGGACCTTTTCACAGTCAGAACCATTAGCGGTTGAAACAGGCTGCCTCGAGGTCTGCCAAGTCAGGCCCTTCCACGTGCCCAGGCCAGATGGGCAGCTGTCAGTAGTGTTGAGCAGGGAATTCCTGCATTAGGCAGAGCTTTGTCTGCGTGACCTGTAAGTTCTACAATTCTATTACCCTTGTTAATTTCCACAATTCAATTTGCAGTACAGGATAAACAAACCAACCTAATTTGATCTGGAAATTCTGCAGGCTATCACAGGTCATTTAATCTAAAACACATGGCTACAGCCATTACTATGTTTTCTGAAGTCATCTAACAGACGTGGTCCTTAACAAGGTCTCCATGTTATTAGTTTCACTTATGGCTTTTTCCAGCCTCCTGCTTATTACACAATTGCCTTTCATTCTTAAGAATGAGGTGGAGAGAAGCATGAAAGAGTTTTCTTCTTTCTGCCTTTTTCCTCTTAAACCTTATAATAGGTGAGTCCCAATTAAAATTACATTGCTTACATCTTTATCTTCAAATTTGGCTTTCACTTTGCAGGTTTAAGAATCTATGAGAAATGGGAGCAGGGGCCATGAATAATTATAGGTTGGGGCAAAGTTGATTAAGGCAAATTTCAAAGAAGAAAAAGTGAGATTTTTCAATTTGATATTAAAACTTAATCTATAAAGTAAACATCAGGTACCGCAACATTGTTAGAATTAGGGTACAGAACCACTTGACCCATAGTCATGAAGAAATAAACACATTTGTGTTAAACAGCGCTTGCTCCTTTCACAACTGAAAGCACCCTGCAAATAAAATTTTGTTTTCTAGGGTATGTCCATTCTGAATAACTGATTATGTTTCTTGTCTTTTTCAGTGAATGTTGTGTCAATGTTACAGGAATTTTGGGAAAGCAAGCAGCAGCAGAGGGCTGCGTTCCCCAGTGAAGGTGTGGTGGTGTACGAGTCACTGCCATCTCCTGGACCCCCCTTTGTGAGTTATGTGACCCTTCCAGGGGGAAGCTGTTTTGGCAACTTTCAGGTAAGAAGCAACCATGAATTGGTCAGTGAATATTAACTGGGTTAAAATAGAGTAAGTCCTTATAATGGTAACATTATAAGTTTTCTTGGTTGCAGTGAGAAAAGTTGTATCACATTCCATAATATATATAGGAAAATTGGTCAGGTGTTTCCATTTTTAAAAATAGAAGTATTTTATATTAGGATATCCCCTGATAATTCTTTATGGAAAATGAATTCTATAGCATTTTATTTGCCTGATAGTTGCTGCCTTTTCCCCTCAAAATATTTTGGACTATGCCTTAAAGAACAAAGGAACTTTGCCAGAGTTCTTCCATCATGACCCTTCCACCAGTAGAAAGTCTCCACTTTCATGAGTTTTGTCATCAAGCACTAATCAATCCACTACACACCAAAGCATGAACCAACAGCAGAGGTTAAGATTTACAGGGCTGGGCTCAGGCACTTGTGCTAAGCCTAAGTTCTGCCTCTAGATAACTGTTAACCCTTGGGAAATTAATTTAACTCCTTGATCTCCTTGACTTTGAAATGAGGAATAATACCTATGGAGTTGGTCAGGAGCCATGAGCTATACATGCAGTGTGTTTATTTGGTACATAGAAGTTATTCCAACAATTGTTTTGATAATTATTATAAAGACTTGCAGTTGGTTAAATATTGATTATGCTTATGATGAGTGTAAATGATGATTCATTTCTAGTCATACTCCTACTCACACAAAAACATTGGCGTACATTAACCATCAACATCTGATTATCCAGTGTGTGTATCAAATAGTCACTGAGTGACTAGGAAGTTTCAAGCATTGGGCCAAGTAATGAGGATATGATATGGTTCATACCTTGAGGAAATCAATGTACAGAAATACTCTAGTAATTACATAGAATTATATTTGAGGTTGAATGAAAGCATAAAGGAAGAAACTTCTCAGTTTACTTACCTTTATAAGTGCCTTTTTAGTAAACCACTTCTCAATTTGCAATAACTGGCAAAAATGCCTTATTTACAATTTGTGGACAATGTGAAACTCATAAGTATTCAAGTTTCCCTCTTACCTTTGACAACTAGGAAGCCCAGAGTCAAATTTTCAGTGTATCTCTTTGTGGTGTAAGTCTACAGAACTAATGTCATGTAATACTAATATTATTTATATTTCTACCTTTAGTCTCCCTTTGAACTTGGGATGCCTCACTTATTTATTTTATCCTATTATCATGTATCTGTTTTATGTTATTTCACATATTTTGTGGAGTGAGGAGAGGATATAGTTTAATAAATAGACCCACAGACCTGTCTACCTAGGGGAAGACAAAGAAGAGCTCAGGGGGAATGCAATCACAAGCTGAGGCGTCAGTTCAGGGTGTCTTTGCCAGTCCGTAAAGGAGAGATGGCATTCTCAGCACAGAGAACAGTGTGTGCAAAGGCATGGGGTGAGAGAAAACCACAAGCACTTTCAGAATTTCAGGAGCCTACCTGTGTCTGTGGCAGGCAGGTGGTGGGAGATGATGGTCAGCCATTCTCATCAAACCGTAAGCGATCGTCATTCTTTACAAAGGACAGCAGGTTCTATTCTATATAAAATCAGCACCCCTGAAAGATTCTGAGCAGGAGAGTGATATACTCAAATGTGTTTCAGAAAGATTAATCTGGCAGGAGCACTAATTCTAAGGCTAATTTAAAAACTGCATTCAAAACTGCTGACCCAGCCAGTCAGTACCTAGAGCAATGGTCACCGGTGGATTTTGACCTCTTACCGATGAGAGTGAATTGCCTGATGAGGATGATTTGAAAGTGAGTTTAGAAGCCTCAGAAGAGAGCTTGATGTAACCCCAGACACTTAGACAAGAATGACGTGCAGGCCCGGCCGAGCGTTGACCTAGGATCCAGGAGATCGCGGTTCGATTCCCGGTCAGGGCACATGCCCGGGTTGCGGGGCTCGGTCCCCAGTCGGGGGGTGCAGGAGGCAGCCGATCAATGACTCCCTCATCATGGATGTTTCTATCTCTCTCTCTTCCACTCCCTTCTTCTCTCTGAAGTCAATAAAGATATATTAAAAGAAAAGAATGACGGGCAGGGAGGAGGAAGAAAGGCAGTCATGAGGAAGGGATTCCCTAACCCAGATGCGCCTCCAGTGCCATCGTCAAACAGTCTAAGGTGAAGCCGCCCCCTCGGACGGAGCCCCCGTCAGACTTCCCGTTTCAGGGGAGACCTCTTTGGGAAACAGACCTACTCAGCCGCAGAGCAAGGTCTTGACAGCCACCTAAACAAATCTATTTCTTTGTCCATGAATGTCAGTGAACTAAAGCTCACCAAACATTTGAGGAAGGCTGAAAGCAAAAGAGAAAAATTCAAGGCAAGCAAACAAAAGAACAGAAATAATTCAAGTAGCGAAGTACATAAGAGAGTATTACAATGAGTATCCTCAATTGTTGGAGGATATTTATCCCTAAAATATCTATGATAACAGGAGTATCATACAGCATTTGCACATTGATCTCACTGTTTTGTTTTGTTTTTTTAACATAGATTGACTACATATGTAGGGCAGCTTTGGTGGAGTTGATGAAATAGGGCAAAAACTGGCAAACCAGGTCAACAAAACAAAAATCTATTTATTTGAAAAGATAAATAAGGAAGACAAATCTTTGGCATCTCTGAGTCAGAAAAAACCAACACATATACTACACTAAGCATGAGAAAGGGGATGTAATTATAGGAACGTAATATAAGAATACTACATAAACTATTATATTTTTTAAAACATGAAAACTTAGATGATATTGACTACTTGCTGGGAACTCTCTGTATTATCTTTGAAACTCTTCCATAATTTGAAATTTATTTCAAAATAAAAAGATTTTTGTTTAATGAATGGCTCCCTATTAACTTCTTATTATAGTTATTTTAATGGCTCCCTAGTATCTTCTTATAGTCTAAATGTCTTATTTTGTCAATAAAGACTGCAGTTGGCCCCAGCGTTTCCTTCCAGCCTTGTCTCCCTGATTCCTCCCTGACACGCAGAGACTCCGCCTGCCTGTTCCTCATTCCTGCCTTGGCCTCTCCTAGCCGCTCACACACCCACACCGTGGCCGACTCATGGGTGCTGTTGCCACCCTCTCCTCATGTCTGAACCCTGCCCGCCCACCAGGACTCCACTCGAATGTCACATTCTTCATAAATTTTCCCTGAACTCCCCTGCTAGGTTTCTCTACTCCTGATTTCCCAAAGCAGTTATCTCAGTTTCCCTTCTACTATATTATGTTGGGGTTTTTTTGTTGTTGTTTTTTTTACTTTATGATACAGCTACTTATGTGTGTTTTGTCTCTATAATAAAATGTAAGTGCTTCGGGAACAGAGTCTGTATTCTTATATCCCTATGACTCTAAGCACTGTGCTCTGTATATAGTAAGTACTTAATAAATTTTGTTGAATGAACAGCTAAATGAATGAAGACAAATCCCAAGAATCAATGGAGTTTATATTTTTCCATTTTTGTGTATAATCACCATTGATTGATATATGAAATAGCATATACTATTATATACAGTATAATATATGAACTACGATATTTCACCTAATTCTGCAAGACAGTGGGCTGGGAAGGAAAAGTCAGTAACATTAAAATCAGCTCATATCTGTGGTTAAAGTTTCGGAAATGGATTAATTTGGAAGTACTGATTTAAAGAACATTCTAGCCTTGGCCAGGTGGCTCAGTTGGTTGGAGCATTGTCCTGTACACCAAAAACATTGCAGGTTAGATTCCCAGTCATGGCACATACCTAAGCTGCAGGTTTGTTCCGTAGAAGGGGAGTGTACAAAAGCAATGGATCAATGTTTCTTTTTCTCTCTTTCCCTTCCTTTCTCTAAAAATCAATAAAAATATATCCTCAGGTAAAGATTAAAAAAAAAAAAACCTTCTAATTCTCTCTGCATTTAATTTATGCATTAGTAACTTTCCTTTCACTCTATACCCATGACCATGAATAACCAAGATTAGGCCATACTCACACCCAAGTATGCATTATATTTGTTCAGATGTAATAAGTACACTTATTATAATCTATCTAGAACATAATGCATTTGACAGATTTGTGACTCCATCTAGAGGATATAAGTCTAAGAAATTCTAATGCTCTTATTTTTGTTTTTGCTACCTTGAGAATTATGAATTTTCAATTGTCTCATAAATTTCTACCCAAAATGATAGGACTTCCCTTAGGAAGTGCATTCAACATCCTTTTTGTGGCCTTTAAAAAATAGAAAACAAAATGAAAAAACTGGACTTCTCAGCAGGGAGGAGTCCTGGTGAAATCTCTGATCATTTTAGGGCCTCCTTTTCCTTATGTTTAAATCATCATATTTTAAGGTTCTCAGGAGGATTGTTAACATCCTTGCTTTAAAAGATACAGTATTTCCTGAATCAAATATGTTTTGAAAATGTGTTTGGGTGATTGACTGCCAAATCTGGCCCCTTAACCCATTTGGCCCTTCAAAATATGATTTGAGAAAGGAAAACCAGGAAGGAAAAAAAGAAAGAAAATTTCCCCTAAAGCAATGTCCTTGCACTTTTCTTTGTCAGTTCAGAAACCATCTTAAATGCTGTTCTCACATATAACATTTCATCATGCTTTTGCCAGCAGTTGTCCTGTGAGAGCCTAGATGCTCATTCCTGCAATGCCTTTCACGTAATCAAATGTCACCCTTGTGCATTGCAAATCATTTCACGATGGATTATTAATGCCAAGACCATGTGCGGAGACATGGAGAAACCATTATGCCAGCAGTAGCCTTCTTACTGAGCCGTGGACGTCACCTCCAATGGTGCCAAGTAATTGAAAATACTTGAAGTGTAGTATGGGACTGGATTGCAGGATTAATCCCTCTAGTTTCATGAAAGCTGTAAGAGATTATGCTCATTCATTCTTTAGAAAAGTAGTATTCAGACTGCACTTTAGTTTTCTGGTTAATCAAAGGAAAGCAGTCAAAAGGCTCTGATGGGCA